CTGCCCTCAGCTGGAAGCTTGCTGTTTTGTTTCAGAAGTGAGGTTATACTTGCAGAGCTAAAAGCTTGTCAGGTAGAATAAATGATATTCCCTTTCTCTATAAACACCACTGTCGTGGACATGAAGTTTGTAGGGTGGAAGAGGCTAAGAATTCCAGTGGGTAGCTCTTCACTGCCTGCCAGTTGCAGAACCAAGAGCCACAGAATGCCAGCTTGCTGCTTTGTGCATGTCAGGGAAGGTGTGTAAGTAGCTAAGGAGTCCTGAAAGAGTAAATTGAGTGCAACACATGAGTCTCAGGCTGTGTGGATTGCATGAAAACATAGAAAGAATCTGGGGCTAGCAGGGAGTGTCTTGCTCCCTTCCTCCTACCTCCTTCTGCTGGTACCTTCATCCTTTCAGGGCTCCTTTGTGCTGGCTCTGCTTCAGCAATTCAGAAACAGCATATCGCCCACTTGCCAAAGCAATTTAAAAAAAAAAAAAACCCAAAACAAATTAAAAAAAAACCCAAAACCCCCAAAATACACCCAAAACAACAAAACAGAACCCAAAAAACCAAAACCAAAACAAACCACTGAATGTATTTTGCTGTTTAGTAGGCCACTACAGCTCACACAGGTGCCTGGTGAAGCTGAGCTACCACCAGGTAGGTGTAGAGCTGTAGAGCTAGGAACAATGTGAGAGGCCAGTAAGCTGCCCTCGGGGTGCTGGGAAACTCTTAAGTTTCCTATCCTGGGATGCTTCACCCTCGGCTGGTACTTTTATTGGACATAGACCAAAAAGGAAACTACGAGTTCAGAAGTACACCTTGATTTCAGCAGATGTCACAGAACTTCAAGAGACCGATTTAATTTTATATATTATATAAATATATAAATATATAAAAATATATGAAATTATCTAAAATATTATTTCAGTTGTCATAGTTATCTTACTGCTTTTTGGGTATTTCTGCATGCATTGATTTAGATTGTTTACTTGATATCAAATATCTCACTCAAGTACCCCAAAAGTGAATGAGCTAACTTTTTTTGGGAAAATACCAATGGTCACTTTTGGAGTGGTTTTGACAGTGTAGTCTCAGATGTTTCATGAAAAGTCACTGGCTTTAAATACTGTTATATGAGGAGATGACTCGTCTATAGGGCAGAGTAGCCCATATTCCTGAGCTGTGAAGTGGAACAGAATCAGTATCCTGAAGTATTGTGTATTGGCCCATCAGAAAACGCTCAGGGCACAGAAGTCCTGTGGTATTTGACTGTCTTGCATCCAGCTCTGGTATTTCTGTCAATGTTCTCATGGTCTTTCCTCTGATGGAGGAGTATTTGTGTAAATTTGGCTCGAGTGTATATTCTATGACATTTTAAACCAGCAATAAGATAACAAGTATAGGCTGGGTAAATGATAAACAGGTGAATAAACAGTTTTTTGGTGCCAGTTTGGTGGTGGAAGACTGCTGAAGGAGGAAGTAAACATGGTGTAAAGCAGACATTTCCTGTAGGGATAGTACTGAAAATTATTAAGTAAATACTATGCACTTATTTCTCTGTTTACTAAATTTGAGATAGTTTGCAGGAGAAAATACACAGTAAATTAGATTATGGTCAAAGTGCAGACCTGGCCCTGACTGAGAGAGAAGTTAAGAAACTTATGAACTCTGGTTTGATTGAAGAAGATGATGAAAACTGAAGATATGAATGAAAAAATGTCTTAGCCATGTATTTCAGTGTATGAAGAATAAAAGAATTCTAACTTTGGCATGGGCTTCTGTCCAGAGTTGAATAATAATACTGTCAAAGATAGTGCAAAGAAAATTGTAATAAATACTAGTGCTCAGTAGCTCAAAAAGAGCTGATGACATGTTCATAGCATAGCAGAGACCTGCTTTTTAACCACCAGGAAAAAAATAGAGAGGCATAATATGCAGTTCCTTCCAAGTAGAGACAAATGACTGCTGTAAAGATGGGGAAGTCCCATGTGTCAGAAATAAATCCAATGTTGGCTAATAATTTGTAGTGTGAATACATGATGTGGATTTCTTATTCTGACCACAAATAAAGGACTAATGACTTAAGATAAAAGGGAAAGACTACATACAAGGGGGGCAGAAAATGTCTTTTTATTAAGAGGGTGAAACAGTTACTCTGTATAACAAAGTACACAAATCAATATTAGGGTTTGGAAAACAGAGCACAAAAAAGATGATGGTACTCATAAGAAATAGGGAGAGGATGTCCTTGTATGTGGCAAGAGTGAGATTGATGCTCTTGAAATGTTTGATCCAGTCTGTTTTTCAACATTTCTAAAGGACATTCCAGCTTTTTAAGGGAAGGGAAAAAAAAAAAAAAAAAAAAAAAGACAAACAATTGCAGGGGAAGCAGATCAGAGATGTATCAAAAAGCAAACAAACAAAAACCTAAAAAACCTACAACATAAGCTTGTATATTTCTGTTGTTCGAGTCACCTAACTTGTACTGTGAGACCGGTATGGTTTATACTTATGGGTGGTAGTACATTCAAGAAAACTAAATAAAGTACATCTGTGTAAGGTTGTATGATGAGTTATGCAGCTGCAATGAATCCCAAATACATAGATGTATTTGGGCCAAAAAATTGAAATTCTGTGTGCCATGGTAGTTGTACACACCAGCAGCAATATCCAGGGTGGGCAGACTGTGCCAGACTGAGCTCATTCAGCTCCTTTTCCACCTTTGTTCACATCTCTGTCTGTTGGGCTCCAAGCCACAAACTTTCTATTTCCTTCCCATCAACTTTTCAAGGGTCATTGCTAGGGTGAAGATGCCTGTCCGCAGCTCAAAGTTGTGCAGATCAGCTGGACAGATTGCTATTTATTCTGGCATTCACTTTTACAACCAGTAAAGAAAAAAAAATGTAGAGGGTAGATTGAAGAAAATTAAATAGGCACCAAAACACCAGTGTGGTTTCTGTTGGTCTCCATTGGGATGACCTGTGTGTAATGGAAGAAGAAAGCTTTGCTAATTAACTATTTAATATATAGTAAAATGTGGGGTTGGTTTTACATGCATGTTATTCACTTGTGCAGTTGATTTAAATGCTTGTTCAGGACTGATATTTTACATATCTTGAAATAGAATTTTTACTTGATCAAGAAATATTTTTGGATATGATGATCATGTTCTGAAGAAGTTAGTATCAACATTGCTTCAGTTATTTTCTTTAATTCTATACAATTACTGGTCCTTTTACTAATCAATATCTAAATATGCCTGTGTGTGTAATGTCACAAAACATAATGGAAGGTAAAAGAGGATTTTGTGTGTTGCTATATTCACATGGATTTTATAATATCTGGGTTTTATGGTGGGTCACACCATAAACTGCAGTTTGTACTGGCGCATGTGCTGGAGTGTGTGGTAAGGTAAAAAGAAAAGATGAAATAGTGCTAAGACTGACTTTTGGAATGTCACATCTTAATGTGTGTATTAGTAATATCTATTATTCAAACACCCACCACTTTAAATAAAGAAAAAACACTTTTACTAATTTATGAATCTCAAGTGTAAAGACAACTCTCCAAGACAACTCTCCGTAAAGCTAAATCTTACGGTGTGTTATCTCAGTAACAAAGAAACGGCTTGATGTGAGCTCTAGAACATCATCAGATTATAGCTCACTTCTCATTCCATAAATCAGCACATAATTCCTAAAGACAGGTTTCTGAAGCATTGATTGGCTTATTTCTTACTAGCATTACTGTAGATTATGAAATTAAATCCAACATTTAATTGTCTATTTATATCACTTTCTTTGCTTCAAACATAATTATCTTTTTTTAAATAAAATAGCCAGAAGATTGGGGTTTTTTTCTTCTTAAAGTTTAGCACAGTATGCCTTACACTTGTTTAAGGTTTCTTCTATTTATCAAAGGGAAATGGCGTTTTTTGGCTTGCAGAAAATGGTGGGGAGTTGAGTGTGCTGTACTACAAAATTGTTGCACTGTTCCTGCAGGGACCTGGCTTCAGTACTTGAAAGGCCTTCAGTACATCCCTTCAGTGACCAGAAAAGATTATCCAAAAAGTAATAGTCTGGTACAGAGAAATGTACTGTAGCCTCACAGGTTTACCATTTGGTTTCTTTTACTCTGATGTCTGCCAAAACAAAGATTTATGGAGATGGTGTTAATAAGCCAAACCAGGGATGAAGTAGAACAGCAATCTATTTTGACAGCATTCAGCTCTCCACTACAGGTTCAAAATATTAAAAATACTTACCATAAATGAATGAAACCCTCTTCTTTCATACTCAGTTACAAAATAGCTGAACCAAGGAGGAAATTTAGCAAGATTTTTTCTTAATTTAATCCAGAAAGATTGGATAAAAGATGGGAGTAATTTCTTAGGGATATGTGAGGAGGTTTTAGCATTACATGACCATTATATTGAGAAGTAACAGTGAATAGCACCACAAATGGTAGTACTGACTTAAAGACATTACAATTAAAATGAATACTAGGACACACATGTTGGTATAGTACAAAACCAAGCCATAGGAGCTACTGGTATCCATAATCTAGTATGATAAGTATATAAGACAAGAAAAATAGCTTCTATAGCCATTTGAAGAACTGTGTGATGGATGAATGAAGTGGAAAACTATTTTCTTGTGTGGTCTTTGAAGGTCTTTGCATATCCTTCCTAAAGCAAACAGTGAAAATCAATTATTTGCATACCTCTTATCATCTGAAATTCAGTAAATTATAGGCTTTATTGTGCTTCCATAACCTTGAAATGAAAAGTGGGTGGTAACACCAGGCAACTTTCTAAGGCCACTTGAAATCTGTAGAACAGAAAGCTCTAAGGAAGTGTTCTTGAGTTACTTTGAATCTGTTTGAATCTTCCATCTTCAGATTTTAAACATTGCTTTGGTAATTTTAATAGTCAATGGAAAATTAAAATGTTAATGTTAAACTATATTATGAGAGTCTTATAAAACTTTTAAGGTGTTTACTTTTTTTTATTTAGGGTGATGTTGTTTTCAAAAATGGAGAGAGGATGGGAACCATCAAATTTACGCAATTCCAAGGTAGGTTGCAAACAATTTTCATTATATTATGTATGCAATTTCAAACTTTTGTGTCAGTTGCATTTGTTTCAGGATGTTTTAAATATGTACAATTATTTTGAAAAGGAATTGCTTGGAAGATGCAGAAAGGAACTTAATAAGTGTTTGTTACCTGTTTAAAATGTGGTGCTCTGAACCTTGAGTGCTGTGAGGTATTTCCAGGAATTTTTCTCGATTACAATCCCCATATTTATAGAAACTACTGATCTATAGAAACCTGTACCTGTTTAAAAAACCCTACTGGTCAGCTAAGTATCCACTTCTTAATACAGTTGTTTCTTTAAAACTAATGTGAAGTGGAATTTAGAGAGGATTTTTGTTGTTAAGCTCTTTCAAGTTAGGTTTTGCTCTCTCTGAAGACTCACTTTTGACATTCTGCAACTGTTTGCTAAAAGTTGCTTCAGGAGTCAGTCCCTCAGTGTGTAGAGGACACAAACTGCTGACCCCATCCCTTGGAGGCAACATGCTCCACAGCACAACTCACCAGGCCTGCTGCATGCTCTCAGCCTGAGCTGCTCCTGCAGGGAATGGTCTCGGCGGCAGAGACCGCAAATGGAGCCGTAGGGATTTGTCAGGGGCCATTTGCAGCCAGGATGAGGCGCTTGCTGGGAGAGGTTTCAGCAGAAATGGTGATTCATGTTGTAGTTGTTTCTGCAGTTTATAGAATGCAATTCATGTGGTTTTTTCCCATGCTGAGGCTGAGATAAAACAGGAGATGATTGCATCTGGATAGTCTCGTGAGGGTAGTCGTAAGCTGGCAGATTCTTTTCATACAATGCATAAGAGAGAAGCTTGCTCTCCTTTGTTTTCAGGAGAGCGCTTTAAACATAATCCTGCTGACCAAGTTACAAAGGCTCATTCTTTAAACAGAAATTGTCTGCTGTATGGACATTATTATTAATGAACAGCAATGCACTCGAGGGGTTCTGTTGTTACTCATTCTGAATTACTGAAGCAATCTTCAGAATTGCTCTTGCCTTCACAACAGTAAGTGGTGCTATTAACTCATGCTCCCGGAAGCATTTCAACCCACCAAAACTTTGCAGACATCATCTCACGGTAATGTAATTTAGGAATTCTTGCTCAGTACTAATGATGAATATTGATTGCTTCCTCTTCTTCCTCCCCCCTGCCCCCGTTTTTTTCCATAATAGCGGTGTTTACAGACACGTGAAAGAATCATGAGAAAATTTTTACAAGAGGTATTTATTCCTCAGAAGTCTGGAGGAGCTCTAATGCATTTTGCCTAAGGTACCCTCCTAGAACACCTGAGCGAGGAGGAAGAGAGGCATGTTCCCTCTGTAGATTAAGGATGTGATTTGGGATCATGGGGAGGTGCAATATATGTCATTGGAACTAATCCAGAAGATCAGTAGACATCCAGGATAGCTGATTTTTTGTTGATTTTTATCTCCAACCATTCAAACTGAGGTTCTTTACAATATTTTCAGTTTCATATCAGATGCTATTTAACACCAATGGTTTTACCGTCAGCTGAATTGTTAGATCAGTAAAAACACAAGAGACAGTCACCCATTTAAAATCCCTTGCAATTGCAAAATTACTATTTCAGAAGTGATTCACGTGCATAGTCTATATTTTGATCATCAAACAAAGGTTTCCAATTAACCTACAGAAAAAAATAATTCAGGCATCCTGTGGAGAAATGCCAGAGAAGGGCTGGATTTCTACTCATGCAAGCAATAGTCAGGCATCATATCTTAAGGCTCGTCTCAAGTTTTGTTTCGTTTCTCACCCATTTTGAAAATAAAGAGAATGTGCAAAAATGTATGAGAAAATTAAATAAGGAACAGTATAACACAGATGAAAGCTTTTCTTTTTTTAACTACAAATGATAGTCCAAATATTATCAAGGATTTTTCTGTTCTTCTTTAATTGGTATTAGTTTTGTTCTAAGCTTTTATATTCAATACTTGTGGTATAATTGTAGACATTATTAATTTGTTCAAAAGAATCCTTTATTGGTTAGGAAACTTTCTGAAACATTCTTATTAACATTTAATAATTCTTGGACTATTGGGAAAGTTCCTAGTAATGTAAAGAAGTTAATTAAGTCCAGTGCTTAAAATGGTAAATGGGGTTTTCCTTTGTACTTGTAGCTATTAGGAGTGATCAAGCATGAGACAGATATACAACTCATTGGTTTAAGGGTTTTTTTAAAGAAAACAATACAAATCATGGTGATTTCAATGAAAAAAGACCTCATCAAAGGTGTCTTGTAAATGCTTTTGTAAGATTAGTTGTAATTACGAATACAGCTTATATTAAATGTATTAGTAGCTCATTATCCAAACATAATAGTTAGGAATATCCAGTGTTAGTGTTCCATACTTTAAGAGTAATTTTTTCATCTACACAGCTTTATAATTTCTTTAACAATTTAAATGAAAGCTGTCAGTAGGTCCCAGTTGAAATAATTCAATGGAGAAAAACAAAGCAGATAAATAGGTAATCATGTATCAGAATATGGCCAAAACCTCTGTTCCTCATTTGCTTGGGTAGAAAAATCAGCAGTCTCAGGAGCTAAATTTACTGTTCTTTGCTGGAAACTTTTGTTTTAATGTGACTATCCGCAAACATTTTGGCTATGGGAAAAGCAGACAGGCACATCTGCCAGAGGCAAGGGAAAACCAGCCTGTGAGGGTTCAAGGAGCAACTGCAGTACAGCTGACACAGTGCGATGAAATTCTGAATAGCTGGTTTAATTTTGGATCTAGATACAGTTTTTCCCAAACTCATGCTACTCATGCCTCTTTTTCAGCTTCTGTGCAGCCTGTTACTTTTGCAAGTGGTCAAACAGATGGTGCCAGAGATAGCTGTGACCAAACTGCTTGCTGCTGTACAGATCATGAATACCTCCCAGGAATTATTTAGTATGCAACAGAGAATACAAAGCACATGCAACAGCATTTTCTCCTCCTACCTTACTGGTAAATAAAGAGCAGACTGTTTAGCTGAGATATCCAGTTGATGTTTGAAGTTGGCATCCTTCTCAATGAATGGCTATTTTCCCATGGGTGCAATTTAAGAACTCTTCTCATAGTCAGACATGTAGCTGAAGTAGATAGTCAAAATCTTTTGTCTAAGGAGAGCTGAAAAAGAGTCCTGACAACTTTTGTGGTGTATCAGGGAGCAAGGAGGGCAGTAACAAAGATGAGATTGTAGATTGCTCTGATATGGGAGGCTTCAAGAACAGATCTGTACCTGTCCTTCAAAATGTTTCACTTTGGCAGATCCTTTCTGATTAATCTGACTGGAGCCTTAGAAGGCACCTTGCTTTCAGTCAGACTCCTATTTCTGTCAGGCATTAAACAAAAGCTAAGAGACATTGGTGTTGGAATAGGTTAAAAAGGAAAATCAAAGAATTTTAAATACAAATGAAATGTGCAGAAACTGTGTTTTGTGTAGATAAGAACGAAAGTCTGTGGTACTGCATATTGGAAAAAACTTTAAGGAAGTGGGTGATCACCTTCAGTGTCTTTCTGGGAAGAATTTAAGTGTTTCAACTCATTTAGCCAGGTAATGTGCTGTGACATTTGTTAGTGTTGAAAGCAGATCTGCACACCAAGCAAGAGAGAGAGCGGGACTTGTCAAGTGTAAAACCTTTCGCCTTCTCAGGAAAAGCCTTACTGAACTTCTGCAGTGAAAACCCCAGATATTCTTCTCTGAGCTTAATCAAAAGAAGTGGACAAACAAATGTCTACTCTACAGCGAATAGGAAGCTATGCAAGAACCCAGGATTGTTTCCTGGATCCTAAGTTCATCTATAACTTGTTTTCTAGGGACAGCAATTCAACCCTGGAAAAGTTTCCTTCTATTATTCTAAATACAGTCCAGCATACTCTCAACTACTGTTGGTTCTTGCTTCCACAAAGGCACATATAAATACTAATTGCCTTAGAAATTTTTTTTTAATATTTATCATCTGTCCGCAATATAACCCAAAGAACCAGTCTGTGGATTTTTTTTTCTGTGATAACGTTGAAGGAATATAATGCAATGAATAGAAAATATTTAGTAAGAACTCTGAAAACTCAGACATTATATATATGTATAAAAATATATATACATATATAAATATAAATATAAATATAAATATAAATATAAATTTTATTTATATATATATATATATAGTGGTGTCAGATATCCAGAATCAGTGGATTCATATTTCACTGCTTCTGCAAAGAACTTTAAAAGTCAGAATAAAATTTCCTTAAAAATATTAAGATTTTTAAGATTAAGGAATACCTTCAACTATCTGGATATGAATTTAGGAAAAAAAGTATATAAAGAAATTCAGAATTCTGTTGTTTGAGCAATTTTTTAGTAATGATCAATAAATAATTGCTAGTGTCATGTAATGAGTAATAAATACGTAAATTAAACTGTAGACTGTTTATCATGCGAACAGGATTCTGATCTGGACCCTTCTGGAAAAGATCACCATATCATAAAAAACTATAATTTTTCAAGCAAAAAAGGGAACTACTGAAGAAGTCAGAAAGCTTACTTCTGACACATCCTACATGAGGTCTTGACTGTAATCACATGAATGTATAATTTGTAGACTTCTTGCTGTACCATATCCAGTCCATTTTTGTCTCCATATGAGTAGTGTAATTTTATTGCAACTGTCCATACCTTAGTGACCAGTGTTTTTTTTAGCTCAGTGATCAATTCACAGAATCATAAAATGGTTTGGGTTGAAAGGTACCTTAAAGATCATCTAGGTACAACCCCCATGCCATGGGCAGGGACACCTTCCACTAGCCTGTGATCTATATGAATATAAAAGTATCCACAAAACTGGTTTAAAGTCCATTTCAATATGGAGAAGTATACAAAAAAGAACTCTGAAAGGGTGTGCCTTAAATCTGGAGTCACTGAATATTGACATTACTGATTAAGAAGATTAACTAGAATATATAATTATCAAAATG